TTTATTACTAACTCTAATTTTAATTATTTTTATTAACTCTTATTATTCTCTGTTTTTATTAACTATTACTCTTTTAAATTTTACTTCTTAGCTGGCCATCCTAACTGTCTGGGTCACCTCAGCCGTTTACTCGACGCCCAAGTTCGTTTTCAGCAAAACTATTAAAAATATACACACTGAGGATGGGCAGGAGGAGGAGATTTGTGTGCTGGATCGCAAGATGTTCAATTCACAATTGCTGGATATGATCAATTTTGGACTGCTCTACGTAATACCGCTGCTGGTGATGACGGTTAGTGCAAAAAAATAATTTTAATAGAAAATATTTKCAAAAAATCGTTTACTATTTCAAAACTGTTTTTGTCCTTAAGAGGAGAAAATATTCCGGTTAGTTCTCGATTATGTCATAAATTGTCATAATTCATTTCATATCCTTTGCTGTATCACAGAGTTTTAACCCCGTTTWCGAAAGCAATGTTGAAGGTCTGATATTTTTTCACAAATAATTCTTCCAAAATTTGTTTTCTGAGCCGAAAAGGTTAGAAGATTGTTCAGTTAATATAACTTTTTCTAACTATKTTGCAAGTACTTACTTAAAGTTGTAAGAAAGTATTTAAAGGTGTCAAATCTTAATTTTGGCCTAATCATTTGATATAACTTTGATGTTTGCTGGGGAAAATATCGAAGTTGCCATATAAGAGAATTAGTTTGTCATGTCATATTCGGCGTAGTTCACAATCTTTCTGTTACCAAATATCGACAAAATGCCAAAAAAAAATTCCTAAGAAGTTTTGAGGATGAAACTGAAGTTAAGGCTTTAAAAATATTCCAATTGTATTCACCTCAGGCAAGAGGAACGTTTCTCATGCAAATAAAATGTATGTATTGGGCATCCGTTACTTTTTCAGAGTCGACACTATGATGGCTGGCGAAAAGGTATGTTTGCTATGAGAATATCCTAAGACAGTGCTTTAAGTTGCCGGACCACTGCAGTATATTTCCAGCTGCGGTCTTGGAAAGCAGAGCAGCAGTGAAAGGTGTTGTCAGATGTAAGCAACTTCATTTCAACCGGGTGCCATGTCATAAAGGCATCGAGGGCAATGAAATAGCAGATGAAATTGTCAAGAGTGGTTTACGTTTAACGTTCGAAAACGTGTTCACGTAAACGTAAATGTCTAGAACAGGGCACCAGTGAAGCAGTGGAGCATCTCTTGTGCACTTGTGCACGTGGAATAGCGCCTAATAAGTTTTGTGACAGGTAGAAGACATTTTGTTGGGAGATAAAATCCAAATATAGTAGTTTATAGCTTCACAAAAGGCCTGTACTTAGCAAAGTAAATGTGGTCTCCGCCATCTTAGAGAAGTAGGTACCTAGCTCAATCTAACTGAACCTAACAAGATTTCCGACATTTTTATATTTYCTTTCATCTAGTTTTGCAAGGCAACACTTACTTTTAAAGGGCTTAAAGCTTCAAGACCAAATTTTAAAGAATTCTCCGCAAACTTTCAGCAATCCATTTCTTACCTCTATCTCTAAAGAATTTCATGGCTCATAAGAGCCAAATAGCAACCCAATTGTTGCTTTAAGCCSTCTTCATACTTTCTTTAAAAGAAACAGTCATATTATAATATATTTTGATTAAAGCCACTCTATTCAAATGCACATCTATTTAACGACCTTGTCTAGCCCACATTTGCCTCATATTAGCTAGACAATACATAGATGGCACACTTAAATCGTTTGCCATAAATTTTCACAATCTCACTAAATTGTCTCAGAGCCAAAACAATAACCGAAATCATTCTCTCCACAGGTGCTCTATAGCAAAATTGCGGTCGCTTTGTGGCGCAGCTCACATGGTCTCTCGCATCATTTAGTCACACAGCATCAGCAGCAGCAGCAACAACAACAGCAACAGCAGCAACAACAAGACGAAAGCATGAGCTTACATAACAGCATGTATCATCATCAACATTCACAACACCATAATCACAATCATCACCATCATCATCATCATCCGCATRCGCAACAACTACAACARCATAATCATCATATGTCCTATAATCATCATACAGCACAGACAACAACGACACTGCACAACATCAGTCATCATMCGAATCATTTGCAACMGACACACGCGGAGCAACAGTTGCCCGGCGCTGAGCTGACGCACACCACCGTTGTGGGCGTGGTGGGCATGGGTAGTCTGAGTGGTTGTGGCGCTGGTGGCGGTGGCGGTGGCGGTGGTGTCGTTGTCACCAATATGACTAGCGGCTTGTTGTCGCGCAAGCAGAGCAGCAAGTACGAGAAGCGTGGCGTCAGCATCACCGAGAGCCAGGTGAGCTGTTAATTAAATATTGTATGTTATAAATATCGTTGTCTGTGCGTATGTGTGTGTGTGTGTGTGTGTGTGTGTGTGTATGGGTGACTGTGATTTTCTGCGTGTGTGTGTGCTTGCATGTGCGCATAAATTGCCTAATATGTTCGTGATGGCTTTTATGAGGTTTACGACTAATATAAATGTGCATACTTATGCGCGGCTTTCGGTTGACGCCTGCGCTTATGCTGCGGCATGYAGATTTCAATGATGGCACGTATATATGTACATATTTTTTTATTAAATTTCGCACGCATAATTTGCATATTAGAATTTGGAGGCAATTTGCAGCTAAAGTTTAGGGCGTACTTTTTTATGAATTATGAAAATTTGTTCATTGGTTTTTGAGATATCCGAACACAATTTCAGAAGTTACATGGGCTTACAGGTTCCAAAAATCGACAGTTTTGTTATCGTATTAAATTATACGGCACCTTTGGAATATTGTGCTATGTTTTTAAATTGATTCGAATAATACTTTTGGATATACAGCTAGAGGCAAGCTAGACAAAGTGCGCCGTCTTTAAACGCGCTGGCAAGAGTTTTAGAGAACTRTCAAACTAATCTTAATGAAACTTTATATAGGTCATTGAGATGCAATATTTAAAGACTTGTACGGAGAATTTTAACTAAAATATTTTTTTCATCTTAAATGATTCATTCACGAGCCAGAGAAAAGCAATGCACACCTTCTGATTACTGTTGCTCCAATGAAGAAATATTAATCTAAAACTTACTGATCAAAAGGGGGTTCTATTGATAACACAGTTAATTTCAATTAGAAGAGCTGTTTGCTAACATATCCTTTCAATTGAAGTCACGTGAGAATCAAACAAAAGAGACGTTAGATAAACTACAGTTTTTGATGGTTAGGTGGAGGYCAAACTGACTTACCAAGTGACGATGTTAATTGGATAAAATCTCTTTAGCACTGAATATTCTTCGACTGAATTAGATGCCTTGAAACATTCGAGTACCAAAATGAAATGAGATGATCGTCTGAAAGTATACATCACTAGTCATTAATCAAGTTGAATACATAATTTTAGTGATATATCATATTTTAAGTATTGAGATTTGAGTACTTAAAAATTTGGAAGTAGAAAGTCGAAAAAATATATAAAATTTGTATATAAAAGCTATACAGTTATAATGCCAACATTTCTTCCAGGCCTCGACTTTCTTCATAAGCACTCTTTAGGATGGCGTACTCTCTCTTTTTTGAGTTAAGCGCGATCTTTAGGGGCACCAAATAAAAGTTCTCCACTTATACAATGATTCTAGCTTCATTTGTTGATATACGCTAACAACAAAATTCTCTACTAGAAGATATTTTCCACAGAATGGTCTATTGTAGAAAAAAAAACATAACATAACAAAATGGTGGCTTTTAATAAAAATAAAGTTAAATTTAAATAAATAATAATAAACATTAAATATTAACAAAACATGCAAAAATTTGATGGTTATAGCATCATTTGCCTCCGACTCGAAGACGATGAATAATCTTTGCAGCAATTTCGAAAAATAATGTTTCGAGCAAAGTGTGTTTCAAGATGAACTGATAGAGCTGATTGAACAGAGCGGCCATAATTTACAAGGCTATAACTCGAAAAGTATTTGAGGTATTGATATAATTTTTTGAAATAATATATTTAAAGGTACTAAAATTCAAATATGCTAAAAATTAAGTAAACTTTTTTTTTAATAACATNTTTTGGATACCGGCTCAGGTATCAGTACATAAAAAAGTTAGAGGTGCAAACTTGCAAAATTTCTATAAGTTAACAGGCGAAGGAAAAACATTATTATAAAAACCACTTAAATTGAAAAAAAAGTTGTGTTTTGGTCATAGTATTTTGGTTACTATATTCTCATATTGAAAAAAAATTTGAATTTGGGTTATAAAATAATATAACCATTTTATGATGATTATCATACACCCACATTGAAAGACACTAAGATACACTAATATTAAAAAAAATTAGTTTTGATTATAAAATGGTTATATTCTCATTATCATACACCCGTATTGAAATATGCTTACGTTTTGGTTATACATTGGCTACCATACACTCATACAATAGTTATATTTGTGTTATCATACTTTTATATTGGAAAAAATGAGCTTTGATTATAAAATGGTTATATATTGGTTATTATATCTGAGAGCGACTTTCGACTTTTATTGACGATTTGTTTTTTTTATGTTAGATGTGTGTATTCAAGTGGAGAACTTTTCTCTGCCTAATAAATTCTCTAAAAAAAATTTTTTACCTCGACCTAACCATAAAACTAAAAATCATTTTATACTTATACAGTTACCAGCCAAAGTTTACAAGAAATTCTTCCGACTCCAATAGTCATACTCTATACTTTCATACATGAAAACTACGCCAGCCTCCTACGTGAGCAATTAGTGCGGCAAAGAAATTGAAATTTAACTTTTTTTGTTCAAACTTTTTCGAAATAAAATTTGCAATTAGCCAAAAGCATTTGCCACTTTTACATTTTTTACAGTACTTGGCAAAAATAGCGCAGAAATGTTTAATAGATTGCCACATTTATCATTTGGCGAAAATTTGCCAAATGCATGCGAAGCTAAAGGGTAAAAATGAAAAATTTATTTTTCTAATTTACTTATCGACAACTTTTCATTCACACCAAAACAAAGTTTTGGCGCAGAATCTCCGTTTATCCCGCCACTGTTACGCTCTCACTCACACACTACTTAAAATTACATTTTTCTAATGAACGGAAATCAAGCGAAACTTKAGCAAGTTGCACATTCGGACGACGACGGCAAATCTCAAGCAGCACGAGCAAGCGCCATTTGCTTGCCACCAAAACTAAAGTGGCAAGTTGGTTGCTTGTTTTCTTTTGGCGAAACTTTCTGCCCGAAGCTAATCTGTACCGCAAACATGGCCGCCATGGCCGCAGCCAAGCCACCGTTGCCCCGCTGATAGCCACACCGAGGCACACACGATTGGCGCAAATCTATTTGCGGAAGCCTGTGGAATGTGCTTTTGGGTAATGGACCTCGAAAGTTTGTCCAACCACTACATGCCAGATTTCCCCTTACCGCACTTGCTGGCGCTATTGACAATAAGGTGTTAAATGTTGAAATGTCTCGAAACTTGGAAACTTTTTCAAAATAGTTGAGCGTTGCGAAAACGAAGAACAAACGATGAATTGTGCTTGAGTACTTGAAAAGAAACTTATTTAATGTGAAATTGGAGAAAAAAAATAAATAAAAAAATAAAAAGAATTATAAAAAAA